TGGTTGCTCCTGGGTACAAGTGGGAAATACCAGAATGTAATGTGTTGGGGATGTAGTTTTAACTGTGGCAAAGGCAGGAAACTGCTCTCTGAATACAATGCTCAGTTGAATTTCGTGTGGATGTCAGTTGGGAGAAGCATTTTTATTTGAAATGGAAAATACTGTGGCACAAATATATAATACTACAAAGCAGGACAGTGCAGCACAACAGTATGGGTTAAAAGTTACTGTTATTGCTTTTCAAGTTCTGTTAAATTACAAAATGAAATGTTTCCCTCTTAAATTTCCTGTATCAAGTATTCCATGCTAGTATTTTTTTACATCTTTTTGATTTAAGGGGTACCCCAACTGTTAGCCTATATTTTAGCTGTATCTGAATGATTACGTAGATACTATGAAATAAGATCAGTTACCTTAAAGAATTAGCCTTTACACCCAAATGGGTTAACTTTGGAGGTTTCCTCCTTCTGTCAGGCATCTCAAATAGCTGAAGTGGTATGTGCTTCACCTTAACATAATCCGAACTCTGCAAGAAATATGTAGAAAGCACTGGCCTCAGCTAAGCAGCCTTAAAACAAACACTGCAAATCTGTCTGGGCTCATATTGCCTGTGTTATGCCGAAAACCTTTGTGTGCTTGAGGCAAGTTCCTTACATAAACATGCAGAGGCAGGACCTCTTACACTGCTATCTTTTGCATTGGTATATTTAAAACAGCCAAGGTTCCCCCTCCTGCCAAGCTATTAAGCCTGAGATGATGTTTTAAGGTGTTTCTTCCCTTTTTCTTGTCTTTATCTGAATAATTTCTTAAATAGAGACCATGAACATTGTGCAAGAATTATTAGCATGTGAGGAGAACAAAGCTTTTGATTTTTAACAGTCAGGTTATGTTTGTGGGTTTTGTTGTTTTTCTGTTTTCTTTACAGAATCTCTCCAGTTGCTTGTGGTGGCTGTTCAACCAAGAGCCTGGAAGGCTGTATGTGGAACTGCAGTTCTTCTGTGCTGTGTTTAATTTTGGGCAGGTACTTACCAGTGTTTGTTCTGAAAATGACCATGTTGGTGGGTGTTGCAGCAGATAATGCACATCTCCTATGACCAAGAACACTTCCAAAAGTGCAAGTGACAACTGAATGCCAGTGCTCATGGAAACTGATTAGGAATTTATTTGTACCAAAGCTTCACTGGTGTCTCTCCTGTGGAGTTCCATCAGTTGCAAGGCAGCTCCATGGATGCTGTCTCTGTAAGGTTTAAATGATTTCTCTGGTTTCAGTGACAGCACCACAGCAAAGAGCTGAAGATGGGTGCTGGTTCTGGCTGCGCCTGGGCTGTTTCAGTGCACCTGACACAGGGCAGCTTTGTCTTGTGAAAGCCAGGCAGTGTTGATACACACACCAGAGGAACATTTTACACATCCATGGCACATGTGCCTACAGGATGCACTGCAATATCAAGTAATGATAGTTCTATATAAAAGCTGCACAGAAAAATGAATTAAGTAGAGAGCATTCTAGCACTTGAATTACAGTAAGTCTGTTCTTTCCTTGGCCTTAACAGACAGATTCAATACCTGGCTATGTAAGGTTGCCGGTTATCCCCAAGTGTCAAGTGGATGTCACAGAATTAGTTTTACTGAAGTATTTATTGAAGGTTTTATATGATGGGCTGTTAGGTATTGATATGTCTTTTTAAGGTCCAAATGAAAAATCAAAGCAGAAACAAAATGCATTTTTAATGATATTTAGAGAAGAGGGATGCTTTCCATGTATACATGAAATGTATTTGGCACCGATAATTATATATAATTTCTGTTCTATATAAACCAAAGCTTTGGCTTCATGTTGCTTTTTCTTATGTTTTTTTTTTTTTCTTTTTTTCTCCAGGGCTTCATTTGCTTTGGTATTTTTGGTTTAGATAAGCATTTAATCATTCTGCCATTCAAGCGAAGGTAAATAGAATCTTTGCACTTACACCTATAAACCTAATTATTACTAATAATCATTTTTGAAGAGTGTTGAGTTTTCAGTGCTATAGTGTTCAGTTTCCTATTTCGTTAATCTTCCAAATTTCTTTTCTCTCCCACTTGTAGAGAGGTTGTTCTGCCATCCTAATGACACTTTCAGAGACATAAAGTCCTGCAGGCTCCCTAGAGGTGAAATTTTTGCCAGTGAAGGATCTTCAGAAATAATTTCAGCTGATAAACTAAAGCTTAGATCTGGATGCTGAATCAGAATGTATCACCACTGTTTTAAAGCACTGTGGTAACCCCATGCCTACTGAGTGGACAGGCCCTTCCACAGTGGAGGAGTGAGTTGTACCAAGCTGCCTTTGCCTTAGAGCTAACTGGCTGCCCTGTGAATCCAGCAGCTAGAGCTGGCTCCCAGCTGCTTTCTGGCTTTCCTTCTGCCCAAGCCTAGAATAACACCTCTGTGTTCAAAAGTCATAAAATATATTAGGAAGATTATATGTAAAGAATTGGGCACAAAAAGAGTGTGATAAACTTCCTGGGAGGTACATTCTATTATTTGCAGTCTCCCAAAAATGCCCGTCTTGAATTTTTCTCTTTTGTTTGTGTGTGTGTTTTCTAGACTTGAGTTTTTCTGGGGTGGAAGAGAAGCAGCAGGGCATACAGATGCCTCTGTACCTGAGGAAATCAGGATGACCTGTCAGCAGTTTGTTCGTTATCATAGAGATCACTGTGTCAAAAGTATTGTCAAAGGCAGAAGGTAAGGTTCTTCCCTGCACATATAACCTGTTACAAAGCACATAGCTCATCTTTTGAAAACAATGAAATGCAGTTAATTTTGTGGGTTATTCCTGTTGTGTATATTTATTCGAAGCTCAAGATAAGGATTAAAAATTTAACTGTGACAGAAATGTTTCTAGCCTAACACTGAAACTTTGGGGCACAAGTTATCATATTATCCCACCTAGGTTTTAAATAAATTATAAAAATTTCATATCACTAAGGGATTTCTCCAGGTTTTGCATTTAACTGGAGTTCAGAGGATGAAATCTTTCTAAAAAAATGTATATGATAACACCTGTAGAAATGCATTAAGACCCTTTGTTTTGTTTGGTTTGCTTGGTTTGTTTGTTTTGTAGAGTAAGACACTCCCCATATTTGTAACTAAATGTTTACTAATATGTAGCTTTTATAGGAGGCAAAACTGTTGCAGCTGATTTTAGTGTGTACTCAGAGGCCACTCAACGTGTGAAATTAGAGTGGGTTTAGGACTTTGACAGTTTCTGAGTTTATACAATTTCTTTTACTCATACCTCTAATGAGGCCTAAACGTCAATTTATTAAACCAGTAAAGATTTCAGGGATAAATTACGTTACCTAAATCAAGGATTATGCCTTCAGATATGTGTAGGTAGATGAGAAGAAAAAAGCAGACAGAAGCAGCAGGAACAAGAGGAAGATTCTGCCTTTATTTAAATATATGAAATGGAGACATGAATTGTTCTAACAGCACACTTTGACTGTTCTTGTAATGTAAGCTTTTAAGTAGGACTAGCTTGGCAGGGTGGGGTGGTCTTTTAATGGCCAGGTAGTCCAAAACCATATTGCAAAACTGTTCTAGACAGCATCATGATTTTGTTCAGTCTCTTATGTCCCATAAGAAAGATGTATCAGAAAAATGTCTTGTGAAATAGAACAGGTTTTACAGCTGTTTTTCCTGTGCCTCTGCTGCTATGTGGTTTCTTGAGCTTAGGGCTGTTCATTTAGTTGTACTTTGTGGTTTTTATTAATCATATCCACCTGAGAATACATGAAATTATGACATTTGTTGCCTTATTGTTGTAATACTATGTTTGTGCAGAACTTGGTTCATGTCTTATTTCTCCTTATTAATTAAAACAATGCATTTATCTTGTCATTTTAAATATTCATCTAACTTGATCCTGTCCTTTTTGATTTAAATGTGCTGTAACTGAGACATTGTAACCATGGATTTTAATTTGTTTTCATTAATAGATGCTAATAGATGTTAACACTTGCTCTGTGTTACTGCTGCTATTAACTTAAAGAAATAGGGGGGGAAATGCTCTTTTAGCTCTTAATCACCTGTAGAAACCCTGTGCTTGGGTCCCACTTAATAGATTTTAGATAACCAGGAACATTCATTGCTGCAAGTAAATGTGATCATAGCATCATTGCCTCTTAAATAAATTTAAAAAAGAGTCTTGTTGTAAAGGTTTTGTTTATTTTTAGTACTGCATGTGTGGTCAATATTTAACAGGATATGTAAGTTATAAATGGGCTTTGTTTACAATATGTGTAAGCAGTTAGTGTCTGTTTAAAAGTCTTTAGAAATTATAAAACTAATTAAAATTCAAACAGAATCCCTATTGCTGAGATTCTGCTGAGGTTGCTCTCAGGTCAGATATTTTGTTGCAGAAAGGGTCATGGTAAGCAGTACATGGGAAGTAAGTATCCAAGAAATAGAATTAGATTGTGTGAGTTTTCAGGGGAAATGCTACTAATATCCACTGAATTTTGTTTGCAATTTGAATTTTATTTAGAAGCCTAAAACAACTTTGTATGTCCATATTGCTTCCCATTGAAATGTCTGTAGGAGAAGGTAGTGAACACTGGCATGTCCCAAATATACAAAACTTGCAAATTCTTTTCTAACATGCTCTTAACTATCACGATGTCTTTCCTTGTTTCCTGCTATTTTTCCTTGCCTTTCCCCATCGTGCAGTGGTGATACCAGATTTACAGAACATGTGGGTGAATCATTCCTTTGACATACAGGTGTGGTGCAAAGATCTCCACTGGCATCTTCTTTGGCTGTGACCTGGTGAACTGGCTCATGCAAGTCGGCCTTGCCTCTGACCGTGGGGAAGCTGTGGTCTATGGGGACAGGCTGCTGAAAGGAGGCGTCGTGCAGCACATCACCAATGAGTTTGAGTTTCGCGATGAGTACTTGTATTACCGCTTCATTCCCAAGAAATCTGCTGCAGCTGAGAGCCATTGAGCTGAGCATGCAGGCAAAGGACAGGCAGTGACCACCTCTTCTGCCTTCACTACTGAAGTTGGAAGTATTTCTTCCTCAGAGCTCTCAGAAAACTGTTGCGCCGTTCTCCCTTGTAAAATTAAGAGATGTGGTTCTACTCGTGTCTATTCTGAAGAAAATGGTAGAAAGTTATATTTAGTCAGAATTCCAACCAGAATGCTACTAAACAAAACCAGATGCTCCGGATTTAGAACATTTTTTCTATTTTGAGCAAAACAAATTTTACTAAATGGTATGTGTCACTGTTGTATTTTAGAGGCATTATAACTGCAGCTTTAATACTGATGCCACAATGAGGGAAAAAAACCCCATGAAAGGTATTTTTCGTGTTGCTGGATGTTCTCCATATTTTAGTGTGATGAAGTATTGATGCTCATTTATAGTCAGGCTTCCCCCTGACTTCACAGAAGTAGGAATTCTTCTGCCATACCTCAGTTTTACTACTCTGCTCTTGTCTAACACCAGGAACTTTTTTAGCTGCTTATACCTGAGATCAGGTGGGCTTTTTCCTCCCCTAAAGATAAAATACTCCAATTAAAAAGACAGAATTGCTGCGACAATGTTTCCAATATCAGGGGATTAAAGCTGGGCAAATAGTGAGTAGAGCAAGTAATAAGTAATGGTTTTGTACAAATCTACCAAATCTTAAAACCATAGAAATATTCAGCACTCTCCCAAAATAGGAAATTATATAATGGAATAAACAATTTGTTTTGCCTTATGGTGGTAGTGACAGCTTTATTAAGAGCAGATTTTTACATGTTGAAATTAGCCTTCAGAGTTTAAATCAGAAGTGCCAGCCTTAAGTAAAGATTTTATGGAAGCCTTGGATACAAGTGCAAGTCAAGATAAAATTCTTTTTCAAATCATATAAGTTTTTAAATTAAATTAATGACTTTTAAATCTATTATATAAAAAATCCTAAATGAACATCCATATTAGGGTTTGGAGTAGCTAAACATCCTAGATTTTAGTTTATTGCCTAACATAGGTTTCTAATAAACCTCAGGTATCCTCCTAGTTACTTTAGTGTCACTCAGATTCCTGTGCACTAAAAGCAGAATCTGAGGACCTGTGTGTCTTCTGCAATATTTTGAAAAGGCTAAAGACAAAGTATTGTGTCTGATAGCAGTTATGCTGCCCTTTTAAAACTGCAAGAACAGCATTTATATGTCTGTATAAAAATGTTACGTAGTGAGGGAAAGGAATCCAGGTATTAAAAATTATTTGCTCAAGAATATGAAAAAGTCTTCTCATCCTTTTTTTAAAAAAGTCTTTCCCTTCTTTTTTCCCCTTTTTTCAAGTACACAGATTTTTATTACAGCTACCTTTGCATCTGTTTTGTATTAAGAATTAAAAGTGATTTTAGCAGCATAAGCTACTATTCAACAAGCAGTTGTTTTATGGCTGCTATAATTTCCTGCAAGACTTAAATTGAAAAAATAATTCCTTTTACTGTTAGTCTGATTGCAGTGTGCACAGAAACGTAACATCCTGCTGCTTATGTATGCTGTACAATCTGGTATATTTTCATGTTTTCCAGCAACAATATAATTGATGTTTGTATCAGGCTGTGGCCACAAAGGAGAACCTTACTGTATTTCCATTATGAATGTAGAAGACAGCTATATTTTGGAATAATTAGATATATGCGACTTAAGAGCAGAAACTGCAAGTATGTCTGGCTTCTAAATACTGCAACTTGTCAATAAATCTGTTACTTGATTTCAGAGTTCTGAGCTGTGGTGTGTGAGAGTGTTATGTGTGCATGTCAAGGTTTACGGCAGATGTGAGTTTCCGAGAGATTTGGTAACGTGGCTCTTGGGTTTCAGTCCTGGTATTTCTTGAATCCATCCTTGATCCTTTACAAGTAGGCAGAGCACTTCTTAATTGGTGTCCATCCAAAGACACCTCCATACTAGAAGTGTGCCATATTCTCTACTCACCAAATACAATTTCATCTACTTACCAAATACAATTTTTTTAATTAATTCTTCAAACATTCAAGAATTTGATCTTAGGGCAGTTTTACAGTTCTTTTTATAGTCATTGTTCTTGCACGCTTTCTCATTTTCATCATAAAAGTCCTGCTTCCCTTTTTATAACGGTTCTGCTTTCCCTAGATTGGAACACAACGTATCTGTTTTAAATAAGAAATTGCTCAAAACTGCTGCCTAGAAAAGGCTCTCTGTTACAAATCTAATACAGGGAACACTTTGATTACCAACCAATACCACATTCTCTTAGATTTACTGCTACAATATTGTGACTGCTAATATCATACCCATTAGTCTGATGAGTCTGTGATGGTTAATAAGGAAGCTAGGAATGAAATACAGGATATAATATTTTGTTTCTAAATCACTTGGTACTTCTGGAAGCCAATAATAGACTTTGAATTGTTTTAGAAAGTTAAGTAACCCTTTTATCTGGTAAATATTTGCTTCCACCAAGGAGCACTGGCAAGTTTTGAATGATTGACAAGCTGATGTTCTGTCAATAGTTGATATACTGCTATGTGGACTTCTGGTAGTTAGAAACAGCTTTGCTATTAAGAAATGGTCACTGGTGCAATGACTTCCTTCATTTTGAAGGTGGATTAGTTTGGGATGAATCTCTTGGAAGCTAAGTTCCATGAAAACATCTATTGAACAAGTCTAGAGGAATGTCCAGTGAAAAATTGGATCTTTTTTCTAAGACTAATCTCAAAATAATTGTCATAATAAACAGGGATGGATGTAACACTTAATTTTCTACTGTAAAATTTTAGTACTTTTTTATTTCAATAATGATCCTTCTCTCATAAAGCTCTAGATCTTTTAAAGATACATTCCTAGGTGCAAACCCATGATAAGATTGCCCTCTAGGGGACATTCTGATTCTTTTTTTTTTAATACAAGGTTGTGGGAGGGAGGATTATTTGTTTCTCCTGATCCCATCTTTATTTTCTGTTTTTACACTGCATGTCTTTCTCTAGGAGAAGGAAATCCCAAGGAAAAAGGTGCTGAAATATCCTGTACTCTGTTGGCAATCACTTTAACTGTCTCCACACGTTACATTGTTTGTACTTTGTATCCTGTAGACCAGCAAGGAAAAGGCAACACATAAATAAGAGGCACAGGTATCTGCCTGCGTTAGGACTGGACCCATGTGCTTGACCTCGTTCATTGCCACCCCATGATTAGGTAGCCAAGAAGTTTGCTTAAAGGCCTGCTCCAACTTCACTGCTGTTCTTCCTGTATAACTTCAGTCTTTGCACTGTAGCATAAAACTATTTCACTTGGTTTGCTATGCTGCCTGAAAACTTGATTCATACCTTGGTTTCCAGCACAGTTTCACCTGTCATTTACTGATGCTTTAAAGCTATCAGTGTGGAACTGCTCATGACCAAAAACAGGAAAAGATACATAATTGTTGGACATGGACATCCCATAAGGAAAACAGGTAAATACAGCAAATTTTTAATAAATCTATTTCCCAGTTATCAAACTGGACTATTGAACTTCTGTATTGAACCACTGTGCTATTGAACTTGCAAGAAATTTTGTTGTCAACAGAGGCACAAAATGTTCAGTCAATTCAAACTTACTTTGTCTTACCTCCCTCTCACTCTGGCTTGCTACTGCCATGTGGTACACATCAGGTCACTAGAAAGTTCATGAGCCTTTCCTAACTCAGCAGTTTCTTGCTGTGAATCTGAACATGGCATCCTAAATTAATTTCTACTCTTATTGCAGGATCAGAAAGAATGAATTTTACCAAGCTCTTCATTTTCATATTAACTCTGCAAACTTCCATTTACAATCTATTCTTTATATTTAACTTTTTTTACCAGTGGGGTATTGAACAGTTTACAGAATGAGAAAACTGCATGTGAAAAATTGTCAAATAATTCTCTTTCTGTGGTTTGCTGTGTGTGTGGAGATGCAGTGTCATGTCCCACATTGCTGCTGCAGCTCTAGTGCACCATTTCATATTTTCCTCTGAAGGTTTGCACAAGTGCTGCATTTTGAGTGCTTTTTTGTTGTTGTTTTTCCTTACAGTCATGCTTGTTATCCTGACTTATTGATCATGAGGTAAAATCAGAGTCTTCCTTGTTGTTTGTTTAGTTTGGCCCCTGCCACAGATATAATAAAAGTGGTGTCATATATTGATCATTACTTTTAAACAGGATCAGGAAGGTTTCTGGTAGGGCAGAAAGCTTGATTAAATTATGTCCATAGTCTATTAACTCTGGCAAAAAAAAAAAAAAGTCATGGTTTAAAAGGCTTTCTATAAAATGGAAAAAATTAAAAGTATTTTTAAGTGTCCTGCTGAGTACATATATATACTTGTGTAGCCCAACCTCTTCCAGTTGCCCAATTTTAAAAAGTAACAATTCCAGAAACATTTTAGAACTCTCCCATGATGTTATAAGTCCACTGCAAGAATAATAATCTTGTATATAAATAAGTTTATTTTTCACTATCAGGGTGGGTAAAATAGACAGGAAAGTGAAATCTGTGGGGAACTTACAGGATGCTTGCATTGCTGAATTCCATGTAATAAGATTTCACAATCACTCACAGCAAAATATTATTATTGTAACTATGATTTGTTTTTAATATACCTTGAACTCAGCCCCATTTTACATTGAAGGAACAGAAGGTTCATATATGAAATGTATCTTAGAATAGTTTCACCAAACAACTGAGTATCAATCTTACTTGGTTTGGGTTTTTTTGCTTCAGTGTTCATCATAGCTTTTACATTTTAGAAAGTCTTCAGCATGGCCATTTTAATTCAGGTAGTCTGAAATTCTGCTACAATTCTCCTGACTATAAAAGCTGTGTGTGTGTACGCTAGATCTGAGTTCTCCAGAGCTGAGTTAGTGTTCTTCATTCACAGATGGGGCTGTTCACTAATTTAGTCAAGCTACTGCATTCTAATTGCATCTGTTTGTTGGCAGAATCAGTCTCTGCTGACAGCTTTGTGCCATGTACAATGCCACTGCCTGGCTCTTAGGAGCCTTTCCAGCATTCTTCTTATAATCAAAAGCCATTTGTCCTGAATATGAATCTGCATCTTTAAAACTGTCCATGCTATGTGATATACTAAAACCAGGATGTTAATCTGTATATCCTCTTCATTAGATGACCCAATTCTAATCCAGATTTTACCACACTCAAATAATATTCTTAGCCATATATTTTGAGTTCTTCTTCTACACACTGTGAAAAAAGATTAACTACTTGTTTGGTATCAAGGCATCCATTTTGCAGGATTGATTCCATTTGACTTATCTTCTGTTTCTCCAACTCCTGTATCTCTTTGAGCATTTTTTTACCTTTGTCCTGCGAAAAGAAACATTTATTTCACTAAAAACTATACAGAGCACGTAGTAATCACCCTAACAAAATTCTGTTCTACTGTCCTTATTTTGATCTTTTAAGAGTTGCTAGGGTTCACATTTATGTTGGTGGAAATCAGTATCATGACAGGTTTTCCTAGATACCTTTCCTAATATCTAGCACTCACTTAATCTCCTTTGTCTGACAGATTGAAGAAATAGTAAAGCTCCTTTAGGTATTAGTTACCAAAACTTAAGTGGGTATATGACTTACTGTTAAGAAGATGTATCTGTAAATAGGAGGGATTTTACTGCTAAAAGTAAGCAGCTACCTTCCCACTTCACGTGAGTGTTCAGCTGTCTTTGTCATCTTGTTTCCTTTCCTGTCCATACCAAGCAACGATGAAAGGCAAGCTCTCCTTTCCACCTGAGGCCAGGGGCCTGAATAGCTGCAGGAACTCGTGGCAGGAGCTGTGTACTGGCCTGTGGCTGCTCGGGCATTTCCCCATCCTGTGGCTGGCGTGGGAGGCTGCGGGGGCTGCTCTGCAAGGTGAGCAGCACAGATCCTCGCCTGCGGCTCGGCCTGCCGGCCCAGCACAGTGCTGGTGGCAATTCCCAGTGCCAGGGACACGTGCCTGCCAGATGCCAACACACTGGGCTGCTGGGGCACTGCGCTGTCCTTTGCAATCCATCAAAGGGCATCAACTGGTGTCACATTAACAAATGTGAGCAAGGACCTTATATAAACCACCTGCTTGCATTGAAATCTAATTTAATCAACATACCTGGATAGTTTCCATAACTACAGCAGCACTTTCATGTTTTTTATAGAGCTCATGTCTTCGATCTGGCTTACTCTGAAAACGTGGTTGCTTCTTAACTGGATCATCATGACCAAATGTAGGGGATGTAGTTTTTAATAACTGAGTAATACCGGGCACAAAAATGAAAGGCTTGAATACAGATCTAGAAAGAAAAAATAGAACAGAGATCCTTTACTGACACTGTTTTGTTAAAATTGTTGAGTCAGTAAATTGCTGTATTTTTTCCCATTCTTTTACTTGCTTCCTTTAAGAAAAAAGTATTAAAAACCATCTAATGGTGTTAAAGTAATTGTCACAGCAGTGTTCCATTAAGTAGGTTGGTAGATACCATTAATATACATAATGTACAGTTATGTTCCTCCCACATTTTGATTGTGCTTTTTCACGGGGAAAAAGAAAACCGACCCAAAGCAAAAAGGAGTATAACTAGGCAAACTGCAACACTTTTTCCTTTAGATGTTTATAATTTTTTATCCACTTTACTTGCTGCTACCTCACCTGGCAGGATCTGGAGTTCCAGTAAAGAAGTGAACACAGGGCAGATTAGGCTGCTGAGGCAGTATAGACACCATGCTGCCAGTTGTCATAAATCCACCTTCCATGTTAATGCCACTCTCTTTGTCACGAAGAATTTCCATCATTATTTCAGAAGTGATAGATCCTATTCAAGATACAATACAATTATTTAGCCACAGAGCTACTATAATACCAACTGAATGACATGTTCCTTACAACTGACTGCTTTTGGCAATGCCAGTTTTAGTTTGTCTGTGTTGGCAGGGGAAAAAAATCATCCTAATGGCAAACCTTAATATGGAATACACTTGTATTGCTTTCCCCAAAGTATGTATTTCAAAGACAGGTGATAAGAACATGCCTTAAAAAATGGGAAGTAGAAAGACAAATGAAAGGAAAATTTCACAGGGCTAGCAAATGGTCATTCACAAAGCAACTTCTCAGACAAAAATTAGTAACTTGGATTAAATGCTGAACTTTGAGCACTCTGTGGAAGTAAGATAGATCGTTATAATACTGGTTGATATTTGAACAGAATTAATACCACTATGTTGCTTTGAAGTTATAAAAATAGTAACAGCCATGCATGGATTTTTTGTGAAACTTTGAAAATGAATCACCAAGACTGTCACTTGTTTTGGGGGGTTTTTTGGTGAGTGGGTTTTTTAAATTTTCATCCTTTCCAAGGAGGCACTGGGGTGGCCTTATATTCTATGCTCAGAAGCCACAGTAGTACATCTATTTGTAGGAAATTCTTTATCAGCAAGCTGTGCGAGGTTTATTGCCAAGTGTCTATGAAAATAACTCCTGCTCAGGAGGAACAAAACCCTTTCCACATCTGCCTGCCCAGTGAAATCACTGTTGCTGCATAGTGTATGCTGAAGCTCAGATACTGGCATGGTATCACCAAACTATCCAATATTCCAACAGGCAGCTCTTGCAGGATGGTTTTCCTTTCACGTTTGGTGTACCAGTAGAGGGTATGCTTATGGCAGAAAAACATTAGTTCACTCACTCTTTATTTTTTTTATTGGAAGGTATTGTCTACCACTTTACTATTTTAGTGTTTCCCTTACTGAGTTCTAACTGCACAATTTTTTTTTTATTAACAACCTTGTTGTTTCCTCTTAAAATAGTTACTCTGCTGCTAAGTTACATGTCTCCAATATTACTTTTTCCTACATGACCCAGATTGCCTGTAGACAGGCATGCAGCACTACATTTCAACAAGAAAACACACTTAGATGTATCTACAGTTGCCTGGGAAGGTCAGAGAATTAAAGAAATCAGCAAGCTAGATGAATCAAAGAGATCAAAAGAAGCAATGGACATTTTGTCAGCTACAACTTGGCCACCTGTCCAGCAGGGAAGAAGGTACTGCATGTTTTACACTAGGCTCTGTTATTTTGTATGCCTGCAATACATTCCCTATTTTTTGAAATATGAATAATATTTCTCTAAAAATGGCTCTCAGATAGTAGACAGCCTGCAAAAACCCCAGAACTGCAATGCCACTGACTGAAAGAGCAGGGAAGGGTAGATGAAGAAACCAGTGATTTTACTGATGCAGTAAACCAAATAACTTTTAGTTAAGGCACCTATTTAAAATAAATCTAAACAAAGTGAACCATATGAGACTGATAACCTGAACACCTAGTGGGATTTTTAAAATGGCTCAGGTAAATGCCTGAAAATGGGGATTTAGAATGAAAACACAGATACAATCTCAGCATTGTTATAATACAAGTAAATACAGGTATTATGAAAATGCTTTCAGTATTCAGAACCTGCAATTCCCAAAATGAATGCAGGATTTACATGATCACTAGAGCAAGACAGCAATGGTAATTCACTCTGATGCATTAACTAAATGCTAAACCTGGTCTGGCAGAGTTCAGCCAAATAAAAAAAAGAAATAAATGGTTGCAATGTAATCTTGATTCAGATTAATTACTTCAAATGAGCACGTGATTACAGCTACAGCAAAAACCTGCTAGATGGATGCAGTGAGAAGTGAAGTAATAGGTTCTTTCTTTAGGAGTCTGAAAAGTAAGTGTTTGAATTAGTGACTGCTTAGAGTATAGAAAATTATTTTGGTCTGCTCCTGGTGTGTTTTAGTAGACTACACAAGTTTAGAATAGCTATTACAGTGAAACAACAAAGACTTAATAATTAATGTCAAAAATGAATGCAAGGTATGTATCTGAATGCTGTGCTGTTGCCTTACATAAATGTTTGTACCTAACTGAACTGTTCATAAGATTCTTTGTGGCTGCAAACTGCTGGGAATCTGTTTTAGCCTCTAATTTTTTTCCTTAGCAGTACAGTAATAATATGTAGCCTATCAAAATGTTTCAGAACAAGTCTTCCAAGGCATTTAGTGTTATGGTCATAAGGTGACCTCTCAGGGTTGTTACTGTAGCTCTGTATGTTTGATATTTGACCCTTGTTTTAATTTTTCTTCCTCAATAAATTAGCAAAAAATGGATAGAAACTTCCAAGTTCAGTGCTACTCTTTTAGGCAAAAAGTTATTCTAGTAAGTTGTAGTTCACCAAGTCATGCAAATGATCAAATGATTGCCTGCATCAGATGTATAATAATTTATGATATTAATTCATGCAGCTCACTAAATATTTTGCATATCTTGAAAAAAAATTCAAAAAGATACCTTTGTGTTTGTTCAGAAGCTTATAGCCTTCACAATATCGGCCTCCAGATGTGGTCATTCTGGCAGTATTGACATAAGAATATGTGGCAGCAAAATCAAATTCCTTTTCCCCATCCCACCAGCCATTGCTTTTGGCATATTCCTTCAATTCTGGGTGTTCCTTGTCAATCTTGGTTGTGATAGAGAGCTGGTTGGAAATATTCCGTACACCTCCTGTTTGTAAGTTGCAGAAAGAATTGTTGTAATACATTGAATGAATGTAATACATTGGTATTTTGTTTACAATTAGCTTAGTAAAGCAAATCAGCCCTGAAGAGTTTCCTACAAGATCTTCCTGCAAGATCACTGGTGGTTTATTTCTGGCCCCATGGTGGTTTATTTCTGGCCCTCTCTCCCCCGCTACATTTATTTTTCTGATTGAATTTTCACTGCCACTCATTTCTGGCTCATTTGCTTCTATTGCCAACATTGTATTTCAGATTCTGTCCTGATTATTCCCACCTTTACATTCTTCTTCTGAGACATCCAAAGACTGAGCTTGTCCTCCTAAGGCCACTGGAAGAATCAGCCACTTCAGGGCCCAGTACATCAATCCTGTCCCTAAATGAAATTGTCATGGATTGCTACCATCCTTAAGACCACACATACTGCTGTCATTCTCATGCTGACTTCCTTGCTCTCCTCTGTTTTCCAAGTGCAGGAGTGGTTATGTCTGGCTCTGAAAAGGCCCCTGTCACTCAGCTCCTGTGACAAACTGCCACCTACTCCACACTCATGCCCCAGGAAAGCAATGCCTGTTGTTTACAGACACATGTATGCAGCTCGAGGTTAGTTTGATGCCTTAATGAAAAGGTAAATGAAAACTGGAGAACTCCAAGTGGTCACTGCACTTGAAATGCTTAGAACAAAGAGCATCATCCATACCTTCTACTTTTTCTGCTGCCCAGTATTTTCCTGATGTCTCCAGCACCCATGCTTCCTTTCTGTCAGCTATCAGAAAACTGTTGTGGTATGTAAATGCCATGTTGCTCTCCATACAGTTTCCTCCCTGTCCATATTTTTCCAGCAAATCAACTATGACAGTAAGAGCCTTTTCAGCTGTGTCTGCTCTCTCAAGTCCAAGCCTAAAACAAAAAGAAAATGTTATTTTTGGAACTTTGAACTCCACATAGAACTATTCAGCCTGAGTATTCTGATTGACCTGGAATGATATTTCTATATGCAGCTGCCAGTTGCATGATCTGGTAAGGAAAAAACACAAGTCAGGTAAAGGGCTTCTTTCAAGTGGGTCCTCTATGAACTTGACATGGGGAAAAACACCAAATGGAAATACAGGAAGGCAGGGAGAGGGATCCCACAAAGTGCTTACAAGTCCTGTGCAGGTATTGGACTGGGGGGAAACTACCAAGAAAATTGACTGACTGCTGTAGGTTAATGGAATTTACACTGGCACCTGTAGTGTAGGAACATTGAACTTGTTATTTACATGGAAATAGGCACCTGAGACCAAAACTTAAAAATAATGTGTGTGAAAGATGGGGGAATAGGAGAGGAGTACAGACCCTAGAAAAAGGCCCAAAAGTAGTGCCTGAAGTCCCCCTGTGCTCTTAAAAAAGCCTTGTTTCAGTTTAGTATAAATTTTATAGAAAGAAAAACGTTCGCTAGTTTCCTTTGACAAATTCTGGTCTAGTGCCCGATACTTCTTATGAGCTCCTGGCAGATATCTAGTGCTTGTGCCAAGAAATACTTTTAACCGTGGCTAGAAAGTGGAAGGAGTGCCTTCTGAAAGTGAAAGTACTATTTCCCCATATAACTTAAACATCTTTCCACGTAGTTAACTCCGAATCCAGTACCATTCACCAAAAAGAAAAAAAAAGGAAAAAAAAAACAACAGCAGACCTTACGAGGTCCATGCCGAGGAGAGCTTCCCCATCGCAGACCTCCTCCCTGCCCCACACCGCCTCGTTGCCGATGCACACGCCGTGCTCGTTGGCGCCCATCTCGGCCCCCCAGAGCCAGGAGGGGCGGCTCAGGACCACGGCGTGGGTCCTCTCCACCTGCTCGATGCTGATGTAGGTGCACTGCAACAGGTCAGAGCACACACGGAGTCACCGTCCCGGCCCGAAGCGCGGGCTAAGCACGCAGGCAGGGGCGGACTGACAGCGGTGCTCCCGCCGCCTCCCGCAGGAGCGCTCCTGCCCCGCGCCCTCACCTCCAGCGCGGCGCCGGGCGGGTGCGCGGCGGCCGGGAAGTGCACGACCTCCTGCACCTCATCTGCCGGCCGGTCCGAGTTCTTCCCGAACACCACGCGGCCCCCGGGCGCGGCGGGCGGCAGCGCCACGAAGGTGTCGCAGGAGAGGGGCGGCGGCCGGGGGAACATGCTGAGGGCTGAGGGCTGCGGGCCCGGTGCGCTGCGCGGGCTCGGCGCGGACAGCGGCAGCTCCGGCGCGGGGCGGCACCCGCGGAAGGCCCGCCCGCCGACCCGGAAGGCCCGGCCGAGGCCGCCCCGGAGCGCTGCTGTTGCTGTCCCTGTGCCTGTCCGTGCCGGGCCGGTGGCTCCCTCGCCGCCGCCGCCATGGGGAAGTCGTTCGCCAACTTCATGTGCAAGAAGGATTTTCACCCCGCCTCCAAGTCCAACATCAAGAAGGTGAGGGCGGCCTGGGGGTGCCCTGGCCGGGGGCGCGTTGCCGGCACGGCAGCGGCCCGAGTAGGGCTCCTCACCTTCCTGAGGTGGCACCGGGGCTGGGGCAAAGACGAAGGAGGAGGCAGGGAAATAGTTAAGAAATACTTAAAGCTTCGGGTTTTCTTGTTCCCAGGTGTGTAGGACTGTGGCGTTTTCCTGGCTCAGGCTTTTCAACACCTGATTCTCAGAACAAACAGGCACTGTACCCCGTCCAGGAAAACGCCGCCTGTCACGATGTGCCCTTGTTTCCCAGCGTTTCATACCTGCCCCCAGCTGGTTGCAGGTACCCTGTCCAGGACTGTGGCCCATGCCGAGGGGACCTGGTCTGTGGAGACCCCGAGCAAGGGCACCCGCAGGGTATCTTCTGAGCCTGCTTTTCCCTTGGCGCTACCAAATTTTCTCCTGTCTTTGCAGTGTGTAAGTGTCGTTGGAACTTGGAGTTTCTAAAAAGTATTGCTGTGGGAAGTTCATTTGTTAAAATACTGGCTGAAAATAATGTATTTTATGTGATTAGAATGATGATCATCCCTCGTTAAGCATTTTTAATTGAGTAAACCAATTATTTATACACTAATATATTTTGTACTAGTTTTTGTATTTAAGTAGAAGTTTATTTATTTTAACTAGGTATGGATGGCAGAACAGAAAATCTCATATGATAAGAAGAAACAAGAAGAATTAATGCAACAGTATCTGAAAGAACAGGAATCCTATGATAATAGGTGAGAATATTGGCTTAAGATTGCTCACTTCTTCCTCCTGTTTTGTTTTCATGGTAGTGAATGTCATATTGCTATGAGCAATTTGAAGTGCTGTCTCCATTGACTGGAGTAGTAGAAGAGAGCAGTGATTCATTAAGTGATGTCTCATTAAGCAGAAGTCACAAGAACTTCTTTAGTGGTTTGTGCCTGTCTTCTGATTAATTTCAAAATATGCTACATTTCACAGAACAGTCAGTAACCTTGTATAATAATACATTTGTATGACACAGAAATCTGTTTTTCAGAACTCTGGACATACTTTTCAGTTGAGATTGAAATGTATGATTTTTGTACACAGTGGGTCATGCATAAGCATTGACTGGTCTCTCAAATTTTTTGAAACTCAGGTTTTGTTACTCACGTTAACAAATGAAAAAATGCTAGTTATCACAACAATTTCATACTGTTTTGGTTTGTTTCGTGAGTGTTACCAATGTGACTGCTTTGTGTGTAACACCCTAAACTGCCCTTTTTATTAAGGTTGCTTATGGGTGATGAGCGTGTGAAGAATGGTCTTAACTTCATGTATGAGGCCCCACCTGGAGCAAAGAAAGGTATTGCAATTTCCTGATTGTGGGCAGGTAGTACTGCAAAGCTAAAAGCCTTTTGAAGAACTAAACATGGTGTATTTTATTTTAAAATAACATGTTCATGGTGAGGTAATGATAGAACATGTGATTTTTTAAATTCTTTCTGTGAGAATGTCCAGACATAGATGGATAGATCAATATGTATGTATATATATAGTATGTAATAATTTTGATCACACAGAACTTTATTTTCTTTCAAAAAGAATGGTTGGGGTTTTTTTAAACAACAGTTCAATGTGAAGGGAAGAGCAGATAAATATCTTTCCAGGAAACAGCATGAATTCTGTCCTCAACCAAGGATGCTTCTTTAGCCAATTATAAAGCCACTGGATGAGGAGGACTAGACCTTACCAGGGCAATGACTCAGACAACACAAACCTGTATTTTGGCCTGCTCTCTTTTACAGAAGTAGCAGGTTGCTTTTGTTTAAAAGTTACTCCCATAATTCAGTTTGATGCTTGTCAAACATAGGAAATACCAGAGCAAGAAATTAATAATCAGAAGTTATAAAAATAATAAATGCTGAAATTCGGTAGTCAAAAGTGCTGCCTGACCTGTGTCTGGTGAGTTTATGACTGTTTGGTAGTGTCATAAATGGAAGTTTCTAAATGCCTGGTGGGCACTCATATCAGTCACTTAGTTTGAGCAAGATCTGAATGTAAGCGAAGAGCTAAGAAAATATATTTCCTCTAAGAGAAAACATGTTCCCTTTAAAATGCATCTTTCCCATTTGCATGAAATCACTTGGAAATGCTTGGATGGACTCATTCTTGTAGGCCAAGTTTTGCAATTATTTAACTTTAGAAGCTCTAATAGTAATCTCTCAAGCTTAGAGGAAATGGTTTTTTAATGTCTTAAAAGTATTGTTGCTACTCTTGCAAAAAGTGAAGTTTTTATTTGTGTAACCAATCAGCATAGTTTTGGAAGGTGATTCTGGATGTACAGGATTTCAAGCTATATACTAGAGGCTGGTTATTTGTGAGTGCACTCTATATAAAGCTACTTACTGAGTATTTGCACTGTTGATTAGTATAAACCATAAAATGTGTTTTCTTTAGCTTAGTGGGGGGAGCACCATCTGGATTTTACATATATAATTAATGCATCATTTATTTCCTTTGCATGCTTTCTGAAAATTCAAAGAGGAAACAAAAGAGGTATTTCATTACATTATTTCTTTATGTTTTCTTCTTGCTTGCTTAAAATGTATTTTGAAAAGCTTCAAACTTACCATGTTTTCTGTTTTATAGCAAGAAGGAGAGACTGAATACAAATTTGAATGGCAAAAAGTTGCTCCTCGAGAAAAGTAAGATATCTGGATTTTTTCATATACTTTTCTTTTTGTCCCCTTTTTCCCCTGTTTTATTTTTGAGCAGGTCACTTGTGTGATCTTATCACGTCCTGACACTTAATTAGGAAAAACAATGTTTAGAGGAATTATACCTCTGAAATGGGTGCACACTTATCAACAAAAGGTAGTTTTGTGTATGATGTCTTTAAAAAATAGCAGTGAAAGGAGGATTTGTTTTGTGTTTGTGTGCAGATACGCTAAGGATGATATGAATATCAGAGATCAGCCGTTTGGAATCCAGGCAAGTTACATACATTTCACTCTCTGCATGTCTGGGGTGTGTTTCACATGTTGTCTGACTGCAGAACTCTCACATGGACTCTCTTAATTTTATCATCTCCTTTTCAGTGGGTTGAAAAGCTTCTCTTATGCCTCTTGGTGACCAAATGATGTCAATTGGCTTTGTTGCTTTAGGTGCGGAATGTGAGATGCATTAAGTGCCACAAGTGGGGTCATATAAACACTGATCGAGAGTGTCCCTTGTTTGGCCTTTCTGGGATCAATGCAAGTTCAGTCTCCAGTGATGGTTCAGGTAGGCAGTGAATGGTTTTTAAAGTTCTGGTTAGACATATATGGAGGGAGCTTATATTGTTTAATTTTAGAAGGTTGAAGTTTATCATATTTCAGAGAGTTGATGAAATCTGGAAGACGGTAAATTCCAAATGTAGGATCCACATGTTATTTATTTATCCACAAGTTAATTATTTCATATTGCAGGGACCTAGTTTTCTAATTAGTAACTCATTTAAAAAAGATTCCATATTGCTTTGATCCTATCTGTGCCTAAAACTGAGAAGCTGCAATGAGACTTTAGATCACAATGACAAAATTTGTGTCGCCAAAAAAATGAATGGATTGTCAAAGACTGTCCCAGTTCAGATTCAAGTGAACTGCTTGGATAAGATGGAATATACCATTATATCTTTGTTAACACTTGGTAAAAAGGAGAGATTTGTGGGCTTTTTTAAAATATGTAATTGTGTAAGTGGATAAGCAATTGAAATCTAGATTTCCAAATGTCTGGTTTCCCTTCATCTGACTTCTTTTGCTTCTTGAGCTACAATTTTTTTTCTTCTATTGGCTCTCCTGTTATTTGAAGTCACTGCAGTTAGTGCTAGATTATGTTTGAAGAAGTGGGTATGAAGATTCACCTTGAATTTTTTTTTTGCCTGTTTTTTTTTGTTACTTTACCCAAGTTGTAATGCTTTTAAGTTTCTTAAAATCGGGGCATGTTAAAGAAACATCAGGTAGTGTGGCTGTCTTCAGCCTCGCTGTACTGTGCTTTAAGGTCACTTGTGTCTTGGATTTTGCAGGGATACCATTACATGGAGTTGCACACACTCCATGGTTTCTGCTTTTCTTGTCTTCGTTCAGGTTATCTATTTTATGTAGAAGCTCCTAGTTTTGTTAGGCTATCAACAATCTTGTTTCTCAGAATTAGGTCACATAGATACATATTATCTTTGGGATGAGGCCTAGAAGAGTTGAGTTAAAGGAAATGGTGCTTCTGACTCTCCTGTCTTTTTAGGCCTTGTCTGATGATTATGCCCTTGTGTTACTCATCCTATAGTTGACTTGCTCAGCCTTTCTGTTCAGTTGGTTATAAAGTTAAATCACTTTCTTGCATCATTCTTATCTTGGAAAAAAATTGTACTTAGAGCATTTGTTGGTGGTAGAATTATATTGTGCAGCTCTTGTGTGTCAGAGATGCTTTTGTGCTACAGAACTCACTGTCCACACCTCAGTTCAAATGGTGTGGGTCAGTTTTAGGGGTGTTTGGTTGAAAAAGCAGAAATTATTTGTTTCTGGTTGCACAAACCTGAATATGCATTCCTTATTATTTGTTACAGTGCAATACAGACACTCTGCAATGTCAGTAGAAGAATAACTGCTTGTTTCAAACCTTACTGAACTATCTATATAGGTGTAGGCAACGTTTGACTGCTGTGGGTGTTTCCCACTTGAAGAGATGTCCCCCAGATGGCTTTTCAAACCATCTTTCTAAGCCTGAAGAGAGCATTTAGCACGTATGATGAATTTTGCATGAAGGAAAATGGTGTAAAAGTACTTAGATGTTCTC